TATAAATAAGTAAATTGAAAATACACTAAAATGTATTAAACGTAAACAGAGAGAAAGGAAGAGTCAAGTGAAAAAAAAGGCAAATGATTGATAAACAATGGGAAGGATAAAGGGAAAATTTTATAAGATTATTTTTTTAAAAAGTTAGGAAGAAGAAGGAGAAGAAGAAGAAGAAGAAGAAGAAGAACAACAACAACAACAACAAGGCAAATTATGAACAGATTTATAACAAAAAAGCCAATAAATATTCCAATAGATTTAGAAACATATACAGTAAAGACGAAAATGTAATAAGTTAGACCAAAATAATAAAATTTGAAGTTTTGAAAAACGCTGAGTAGCCTGGGTATCTTGATCCAGGGAACTGGAGCTACTTCCCTTTCCTCTGATTATACCCTCATTACCTTCCCATTCCTGCTGTTATTATTAACAAAAACTTAATAACAGCGGATAAATGTGGAAAAAAAAAAAACTTCAGATGTGGAAAATATGGAATCAGAGGCAAAAATCAATAACGAAGGAAATGCAGCAGTGAAGAAAAAGGAGCTAATGCATAAAGAAGAATAACAGAATACACAGATAAATAAAGAGGAGAATATTACGAAACGGATATGTGTAGGAATGGATAAAAACATCGAAATACCGTATAGAAGTAACAACAGATATGAAGAAAACACCAAGAGGTGGAAGAGATAGAGAGAGATAGAGAGAGAGAGGGAGAGAAGAACACAAACTACAGGACAACAAGAGGAAATAACACCTGAAGGGAAGAAACAAGACAGAAGAAAGACCTGTAAAAATGGCAGGATAAATAAAACGAGAATATCGCTCATAAAAGAGACCAAAACACGACGGGAATATTAAGAATTAAAAAAAAAAGCGGAATTAAAGAATAAATAAACGAGAATCACAGAACTGATAAAGGTGGAAAATTAACACGGAACTGATAAACGAGAATAACTAGACTGGAGAAAGAAGAACCAAAACATAACAAAGAGTAAATGAGACAGACAAAATAAAGAATTATGCCAGTTATTAAAATAAGTAAATAAATATTTATAATAATAATAATAAGAATATGTGATAAATTTAGCAACTAGCTAATTAGTGATAAATTTAGCAATTAGCTAATTATTGATAAATTTAGCAATTAGCTAAAAAAAATTGTAACTAAATGAGAACGTGAACAAGTAAATAGTTTTGTTAAATAACTGATTTAGTAAAGAGGTAAAAAAGCGAGCAATAACTAAGTGAAAAATAGAGATAAGAAAGAGAGGAAATAGGGAAGGTAATGAACGAGGGAAAAAGCGAACATGAAATAAATATAAAGTCTAAAAACAACAACAAAAATAAAGCATGTAAAGCAAGTATGAAACAAGTATGAAACAAGTATGAAACAAGTATGAAACAAGTATGAAACAAGTGTGAAACAAGTATGAAACAAGTATGAAACAAGTATAAAACAAGTAGATAAGAACACAAACAAGTCAGAAATCAGATGAACATTTACGTAGGAAAGAGGTGAACAAATTCCCAAGGACGAATGTAAGTGAACACGGGTGAACGAAACAGAAAAGAGTTAAAAAATAAAAACCACATAAAAGCATAAGGGGACGACTGAAAATCTCAGTCTCTCAAGCCCTGAACGCTGGCTGAAGCAAGGGCGACGTTTCTCTCTATGGTAGAAACGTCGAATGTGACAGATTTACACTGCAACAAGTGTCCGTCTGTGATAAATGTTGCATAAGTGTCCCAATCCCCAAGTGTCCGTCTACACTCCCATCATACTGCTGAAGACAGCATCGCTTTGAAGACGAAATGTACACCAATTATCATGTGACGGGATATATATATATATATATATATATATATATATATATATATATATATATATATATATATATATTATATATATATATATATATATATATATATATATATATATAATATATATATATATATATATATATATATATATATTATATATATGCTTAGAGCTTAATTTAAATTTCAGGGAATAAAGTATTCTTGACTGGTGCCGAACAGGTTGCATCGTGTAGTCGACAGGCTTAAAACCCCCTGATTGACCAATCAGTCAACCATCTTCGGAAATATGTGTAGTTGTGTCGACATTATTAAATTAGATATAGGTGTTGCAGAACACGATTTTTGAGGGGAGAACATTTCGCCATGTGTAGGACTATCAAAATGAAGCTCCACACAGAGCGAAACGTTGTGAAAACGAAAGCTGCAAGGTGTGTCTTAACTTTAAGATCTTATCTACGGTTTTGTTACTTTCATGTGGGTTTATTTGTTGCGAGGTGAGAGAGAGAGAGGGAAAGAGAGAGAAGGGAGAGAGAGAGAAGAGAGAGAGAGAGAGAGAGAGAGAGAGAGAGAGAGAGAGAGAGAGAGAGAGAGAGAGAGAGAGAGAGAGAGAGAGAGGACAATAAGTGGACGAGCGGACAAGAGAGTAAGTTAACGGATGAACATAAGAACTGACCGTGAGGAGGCACGGTCTAAGGAGAGAGAGGCGGACCCCAGACCAGTGGCGGGCAGGTGGTGGTGGTGGTGGTAGTGGTGGAGGTGGTGGTGGTGGTGTTGTTGGAGATGGTGGTGAGTGGTGGTGGTGGTGGAGGAGGTGGTGGTGGTTGTGGTGGTGGTGGTGGTGGTGGTGGTTGTGGAGGTGGAGAGAGGGGAAGGCACACACGCCACACCACTACGGGGTACATACTCGCCCTCCTGCGACGTTCCGGAACACAGCGACGTAAGCTCCGTGGCTTCCGTGGTTTCCGTGACCGACGGACCTGTTGGGGATGGCGGGTAGTAGGGGAGGGGATGGATGGAGAAGGGGTAAATAGATGCGGAGGCGAAGAACTCATTGGGTGGGGAGAATAGGAGAGAGAGAGAGAGTAGAGAAATGGACGAAGAGACGAGTCGATCAGAAATAAACAGAGAGAAAGAAGGGAGAAATTGTTAAGAGTGAGGGAAAGGGGAAATGAGAAAGTGAGAAAGAGAGAGACGAAGGGAGAGGAGTAAATCGTTGGGCAAGATGGGGAAATGCAAGAGGAAAAAGGGAATTAGGAAGAAACAAATATGAAAATGTTAATAATCATTATGACGATAACACTAACGACAAAAGAATGATAAATATGAAGCCAATGTTGATGATGATGATAATGACGTGGATTATAGTGATGATGATAATGACAGTAGCAATAATAATAATAATTATAAGGGTCAGTGGAAAAATACGAACGAACATATTTAGAGAGCAACACTTCCATAACACCGTCTTCCATAAGTCAAGAACCACAGAGCAGAATGTGTTAATTAAATCATTTTTTCCAGTTTATGTGAATGTTTATGATGTCACTGAGTAAGAACTCATCCGAATATTTTTACTCGTAGGAAATTGAAGTCAGAGGAAGATCGCTGAGAATAACACAAACGGATAACCCAATGGAAATAAGTAAAGAACCCCAATGTAAATAAGAACCCCAATGGAAATAAGTAAAGGACCCAATAGAAATAAGTCACTCTGTCTGACTTTTTTGGGTTATCCTAGATTATTTACACATATAATGCTATGTATGATAATCTATGTAACTGTATTTGTGTATACCTGAATAAGCTTACTAACACATCTCCCTATAGTTCCCGACTCACGGGCCACGCTTTGTGTTTCTCTCAGCGTACATATGCTGAGAGTTTCCATTAATCCTTATTTTAGGGGTTAAAAGATTCCTGTCCAGCGAAGGTAAGGTTACGTGCAGCCTTAATGACCCTAGTGTAGTCGATAGGCGTAAAACCCCATTAACCAACCTGGACATCCTATAACCAGACATTCAAATCAGTCATCTAGATCTAATCTCACCATCAAATACGTTCACTAACTCGTAAAGAATGTACACACATGTAAAGAATGATACACACCTGAATAATAATAATAAACATGTGGTATATTTTCCAAGAAATATTTTTTACCTATGATCAGATATCTTTAAGTATCAAAATTTGGCCCAAAACTTAAAAAAAAAAAACTGTGAGTCTAGAAAATCATCAACACTGATTATTTTAAATTCAGTAAAAGAAAGAGACTCATATTCTTTGCTCGATTAATTATTACAGGTTAATGTATTTTAAAAATTATTTTTTTTTTTTTGAGATTGGCAAACAATTTGAGCTACTCAGATTGGAAGACAATTTGATCGTTCTCTCTCTCTCTCTCTCTCTCTCTCTCTCTCTCTCTCTCTCTCTCTCTCTCTCTCTCCCCTCTCTCTCTCTCTCTCTCTCTCTTCTCTCTCCTCTCTCTCTCTCTGTTCTGTGTCTCTCTCACCTTCTATCCTTAGTCTCTCTATAGACCGAGGTTTTGAGGGTCGCCGAGTGCTTCTGGTGAGGTCATGACCTTCGACCTCCGCAAGAGCGTCCTCCCCCAGCTGTTCTATCAGCATCTGTGAGAACCAGTGACAATCTTATTATATTAGTGATGATTCCTTACCCTACTGTTGTTGCTCATTCTACTGTTGTTGCTGCTGCTGCTGCTGCTTATTACTATTATTACAAGAATGCATTCAATCAGTAAAGTAACAATCAAATCCAACCAGATGGAGCCTATTGAACATTTTTTTCACTCTTTAAAATTTCACTTTGTGCATCAAAATTGAAGGTAAAATTGATTTATAGAAACCTTGGCTTACTGAAGAGCACAACTCTACCATTTGACTCCACACATGACTAGCACCGTCACAGATCTGACAAATTCTATGAAGCCCAAAGCACAGAAACTCTGCTGTTTAATGAGTTTAGAATAAAAACACATTCTGAATGAATGAGATAATAAAACCTAAAAGCACAGGAACTGTCCTCTGTTCTCTTTCTGTTTTACAGACAGAATCTATGAAATCAAGAGTACAGAAATTGACTTCTTTCCTGAAGAAACGAGAACAATATCTGTGAAGACTGAAGGTTACGCTCTAAGTTGTCTTCTTGACCAGTAAACTAATATTTTTTGTAAATTAATTTTACTTATCCCTAATGATGCACTAATGGAAAATTGACGAGACTGATTGAAGAGAATATTCATGTTGATGTAATCATGTTACGAGCGACATAACTGGCTTCCATCAGGCCGGAGTGATTGCTGCTTTTCTGATAGGTTGCGTTTTGCTGCTACTGTTGCTGTTGTTTCTGCTGTTGATTATGTTACTGCTCCTGTTTCTGTTTACTGCTGTTGCTTCTGTTGCTGCTACTATTGTTGTTGCTAATTTTGATTTGTTAGATTTTACCACCGAAGTGGATAGTTTGATGTGCATCCCATATCCATCGTCTGGAGGGTAGCAAAAGAGCATATTGATACACAAGAGGCCTAGGAATTAGGCCCCAGAAAGGTTTGCTGGAGTACATCAGGATTTATATCTACAGTTCACTTATCTGTTATAAGCAGATTTAGGAAATTTGCTTAATATAACTACTATCTTATTTTCTGTTGTTGATGATGATGCTACTATTTACAATATTGCTGCCACTGTGGTTGCTGCTGCTGCTGCTGCTGCTGCTGCTGCTGCTGCTGCTGCTGCTGCTGCTGCTGCTGCTGCTGCTGCTGCTGCTGCTGCTGCTGCTGCTACTGATGCTACTGCTGCTGACTGCTTGCTGGCTGCTGTGCTGCTGCTGCTGCTGCTGCTGCTGCTGCTGCTGCTGCTACTGATGCTACTGCTGCTGCTGCTGCTGCTGCTGCTACTGCTGCTGCTGCTGCTGCTGTGTTCTGCTGCTGCTGCTGCTGCTGCTGCTGCTGCTGCTGCTGCTGCTGCTGCTGCTGCTGCTGCTGCTGCTGCCTGCTGCTCTGCTGCTGCATGCTGCTGCTGGTGTTTCTGCTTCTGGTGTTTCTGCTGCTTGCTGCTGCTGCTGCTGCTACTGTTACTGCTGCTGCTGCTGCTGCTGCTGCTGCTGCTGCTGCTGCTGCTGCTGCTGCTGCTGCTGCTGCTGCTGTTCTTAGTGGTCTGTGTACATCTCTACACAGAACCAGATGTTGCCATAATACGATATTGTTCTGAAATCTGTTTCTTTAATACTATCAGCAGCGCACCTTTGAATCCTCGTCAGTGTGCTTTTGTATTCTGGTCCTGCCTTCCTGTTCTATAACCCCTGCGGGTTTAGTACTTATCATAAAGTACCCTAATCATGGTGAAATACCTGTTTTCACTCCTGTTCTCGAGTTTCTTTACCTTAAACACTTGTCCAACACATGTTTTACAGATCAATTAGAAATCCTTCGTCAAGACACGTGTTCAATACCTGTTCTACAGCTCACCTGGCATTCCTTTACTCTAAACACATATCCAACACCTGCCGCACATAGCATCTGGAGTTGCTTTGTTTTAAGCACGCGCTGAACACCTGTTGTAGAAATCATCTGAATTTTTTTGTCAACCTGTCCAACACCTGCTCTACAGATAACCCTAGGTCCCTTTGCTACTATGAATACAATTTAACGAACGATGATAAAATCCCCTTAAAAATACTGAAAAAATTTTCATTACCCAGCCATTTTTCCTTAAACTGCGTATATGGAGAAAAACGGAAGAAAAAACTACAGTAAAGGGTGCTCCCGCTCTGACCCTCCTAGACTTCCCCGGGATTTCCCTGCTCACGCTCCCGGCCCTCCGGGCGAAACCTGCCGATCCTCCCCCTTTTTTCTTTTGGTCTAAAGATGGGAAAGCCTGAGTCGCTGTCTGGGTTTTCGGAGGTTTGAGCTTTTTCCCCTGACACGCTTTCGATGCCCCTTTGAGGATTTTTCTGACTCTATGATCTGGGGGTTTAAAGGGGGGGGGAGAATGGGAGTTTTTGTGAATGAAACGGAGAGAGAAGAGAGGGGTAGAAAGAGGAAGAGAGAGAGAAAAAGGAGAGGAGAGAGAAAGAGAGAGAGAGAGAGAGAAGAGAAAATGACGAATGAAAGTGGTCTGATTGTTTAAAAAAAATGGGTTTCTTAAAAATACATAATAATAAAAATAATTATTATTTTTATTATTATGTTATTGTTGTTATTACTACTATATTATCATCATTGCTATTATTATTATTATTTTTGTTATTTTTATTATTTTTATTTTTGTTTTATATTTTTATTTTTATTTTATTTTATTTTTATTTTATTATTAAAAAAAAAACAGCAGCACCTCAGGAAAACGCCTCAAAAAAATTACCCCAGCAAAATCCCCTAACAAAACATCTCAAAAAAAAACCCTTGCAAAAATCCCCAAAAACCCCTCGAAAAAACCCCCAAAAAAAATTCCTAGCAAAACATAAAACCCCTTTAACAAAAAAACTTCAGAAAAAAAAACACCTTTTGCGAAAACATCCAGCAAAAAACATTTCAACAAAGCCCCCTTAGCAAAAAATCTCAAAAAAAAAAATCTACAAAAACACCCCAACATAAACCCCCCCTTTCCAAAAAAAAAAAAAAAAAAAAAAAAAAACACTAGCCAAAAAAAAAAACTAAAAAAAACCCCCCAGCAAAAACCCCCCAGCCAAAAAAACATAGCAAAAAACAAAAAAACCTGCCCGGGTTAAACCATTGTATTGAAAAGGCATTTTGGGGGGGAAGTCCCCCTGGGGGAGATGACCAGGGGGGAGGCACATGGGGGTGGGGGTTCGGGGAGTGGGAGGAGGAGGAAAAAGGGGTGGGGACCATGTGGGTGTGGGTTAGGTGTGGGAAAGGGGAGGGAGGGGAAAAAAAAGGGGGAAGTGAAGGGGAAACACGCGTGCCTTTTTTTAACGTTTTGCTGCCACCTGAAAGAGTGTTTTCTAAAAAAAATTTTCCCCCCCGCCCTTTTCTTTCCTCTCTCCGCTGGTGGAGGGGTCTTGAGCAAGGAACTGCAGCTGGCCTGCCCTTTGGATAAAAAGATTACCTTCATTCCCGATGCGTATGATTCATACGGTTTAGCTCTTTTTTCAAATAAAATAATAATAATAATAATAATAATAATATAATAATTTAAAAATAATAAATAAAAATAAATTCATAATTAAATTAAAAAAAATAATAAACCTGTTTTATTATTGTTTATTATTAAATTATAACGAAATTTTAAGCATAAGGGGCCTTTTTAAAAGAGCTACTCTACTCTATACTACTACTATATACTTAATAATAATAATAAAAAAAATAATAAAATAATAATTGTTGATATTTTGTATCATTGTAAAATAATTGTCATAGTGATCATAAAAGATTACATTATTATGTAATCTTTGTGAGATCGATGAGTGAGGGGCCCCCAGGAAGGTGGGGGGTACCAGGGAGCACTCAGATGGATTATTTTAAACAATCTCCTGATGGCGGAGAGTAAAGCTCAGAAATCCCTGTAACATGACCAGGGGAGAGAAAAGGAGAGAGAAGAAGGAGAAGGAAGAAAAGGAGAGAAGAAGAGAGGGAGAGAGGGAGGGAGGGAGGGGGAGAGGGAAACAGACAACAGACACGTAGGAAATGAAACAGAGAGGAAAGACTAAACCATAAATTTCGTCAGACGTTGGAACGAGGTCTGTAAGGCTCGAGGGAAGGGAGCCGTGAAATCCCCGGGTTTCCCGGGGGCTGCCGGGAGGCGGCCTGGTTGGCCTACCCACCGGACCCCCCTCCACGAAAAGAAGCAATGGGAACACAGCTATTTTTTTGTTAATTTTTTGACGACGATGATACGTATAGAAAATTATGAATACAAAGTTCAACGTGCGGAACATCATGTAAAATTTTTGAAAATGCATTGAATCGTTTGGTACAAAATTTTTTCATTCATGGACAATGTAGAAGTAATTCTTTTTCATACATACAACTATATAAATTTTAAATTTTTATATAATAATATTATTAATATAATATATTATATAATATTTATAATATAATTTTTATATATTTTATTTAAATTATCACACTGGGCCCATTCCCCCCAAGGAGGTGGCCCAAAAATAAAAACTTTCACCTTTTTCACTCCTCACTTCTTGCCAAAGGGTGCTTTTCATACGTTTTTTTAAAATACAACTTAACACCCCTCCTTCAGAGTGCAGGCACTGTACTTCCCATCTCCAGGACTCAAGTCCGGCCTGCCGGTTTCCCTGAACCCCTTCATAAATGTTACTTTGCTCACACTCTAACAGCACGTCAAGTATTAAAAAACCATTTGTCTCCATTCACTCCTATCAAACACGCTCACGCATGCCTACTGGAAGTCCAAGTCCCTCGCACACAAAACCTCCTTTACCCCCTCTCTCCAACCTTTCCTAGGCCGACCCCTACCCCGCCTTCCTTCCACTACAGACTGATACACTCTTGAAGTCATTCTGTTTCGCTCCATTCTCTCTACATGTCCGAACCACCTCAACAACCCTTCCTCAGCCCTCTGGACAACAGTTTTGGTAATCCCGCACCTCCTCCTAACTTCCAAACTACGAATTCTCTGCA